TAAAAATGCTGTTAGACAATCAGTTTATTGGGTAATGTTGTAAAACAGTTATGTTATCTTTCTCAAATATTGAGAAATGGGGGGTGAAATGGTTTGGCCTTCTAGCGAGTATGAATCCAACAGTATATACACATATTCAACCATACATACATACATACATACATACATACATACATACATACATACATACATACATACATACATACATACATACATACATACATACATACATACATACATACATACATACATACATACATACATACATACATGCATACACTCATACGTATGTACATACATACACACACACTTACATACATACGCAAACACATGTTTATACACACACATACATACATACATACATACATACATATGTACATAAATCCTACACTCATACTTACATACATTCACACATATATAATACATACACACACACAAGCACACTCTCTCTTATAAATTCTCATATATATACACAAGCATACCTACCCTTGCATTCACACACGTTTATTCACATACACTCACATATATATTCATACAGGCACAAATACATGAGTGCTGAGCAAATAGGAGGGTTTACACAAGGAGAAGTAATCTGAGTGATGCTTGTGAGGGTAATGAAACAATACATATATTATATACACACACACGCACGCACGCAAGCACACACTCTCTCTCATGCATTCTCATATACATACCACCTTTGCAAACACACACATTCATACACATACACTCACATATATTCATACAGGCACAAATACATGAGTGCTGAGCAAATAAATAGGAGGGTTTACACAAGGAGAAGTAATCTGAGTGATGCTTGAGAGGGTAATGAAACAATACATGGCCTTCACTCTGTACATTCTTCTTCTGCATTCACTGGCTGGCTGTGAACACCTTTGGAAAGATCTGGTCGTTCACCCAGTATTGGGCTCAAGTCTTGCTTCAAGACCTAAGTACACATACATCTACAGATCTGGCTTATTTGTATGCAGGCTATTGGTTCTATGCCTTTCCAGCAGATGCTATCCAACAGAAGGAGACTATCTGCTCTGGCCAGGACCCCGGTAAAAAACCTGTTTGTTTTTCAGGATGACCATGGAGGGGTATAGATAGGGCTTGGCCAGTTTTAATACTGGTACATGATGAAAGAATCTTAAAAGAAAAATTGCCACTAAAAATTATTTTTCGTCACGTTGCATTGTCATCCACAGCATTTGTGTGTAAAATGTCAACCCAATAGCCTATAATGAAAAAGTATAAAAAGCAAGCACAAAAATGTTTTCAGGAAATCAATTTAAAAATTTTTTAAAGCAAGCGCACAAATTGTACCAGACCAGCAAACAAAACAGAACTCAATAGAAGCTTATAAAAAGAGACACTTTTCCAGTCTTGTGATTTGCTTTTATGGGATAGTAAGATTTAATAGCTGTGACCAGGATATCAGACACACCACAATATCTTCACTGTTAAAATGGAGGGGCATTAGTTTATGGCACTATGTTATTACTAAAATATTCAGTCAAGCATAGGCATGTTTCATTGACTCAGGCTTGAGTTATAAGTAGAACCGAACGCTTATGAGTTACACCAGTGTGCCAAGATATTGGGCCATTGAATAAACATGAAACATACACAAATACACAGAAAGCAAGTGTACAGTTGGAGAAGATATAATAATTATGTACAAGATTCCAGACATCTTTGTTCTATGCTTTCAGACCGAACAGAAATACATAAAAGAGGTGACACTACGAGGGCTGCAGCTAGAGCAGTCACTTCAGTCTACAAAGTAAGTGGACTACAAGTTCCGGTCCTGTTTTTTTCTCGAAACAGATTAGGTATAACTTTTTTTTTGCTTTCATCAGCTGTAAACTCTGGCAGAAAGTTGTGGCTGTTCGTCCACCTCTGTATTTTAGTCGTGTTCCAGATTTAGCCAGTTAAAAAACGATGCTGATCTAAAAAGAACTAAAAGAAGAATATGATTTCTGCAAGAGACAGCAGTTGACTCGCACACCAGTAGACACAGGACATTAACAAGAAGTCTTGTGTATCAACTTGTAGGGGGTATTGAAAAAAGATTGAAAATCTTGTATGTTGTGGTGATGATGATGATGATATCAGTGCTAGGTAACTGAGAGCCAGAGAGATCAGGGTTCAATAGGTGAGTCTGAATATTTCTGCATAATTAACCCATTCACACTGGGTTACAGGTTACCTCGTAACAGTGTTGTGGTGCCCCAGTATAACTGTTATACAAATGAATAGGGTATCAGTGATTTATAGCTGTGTGGTTATCAACCAAAGAGGTTGCTAAAATGTTACATAGAACCTATTCTGCTGTATGGCAGTGAATCTTGGAATGTCTGTGAAAAAAGTTAGGAAGCATCAGAGATATGGTTTCTGAGACGAATGTTACAAATACTTTGGACGGCCAGAGTAACTAACAATGATTGGTTGAAAGAAGCTAATGAAAGTGGATATCTATATACAACAATAAGAAAGAGACAAACACTGTTCTTTGGTCACATAATGAGAAGAGAGACATTGGAGAACATCGTGACAACTGGAAAAATCAATGGAAAAAGGGTTAGAGGCAGACCAAGAGAGACGATGCTGGATGGGCTGAAACGATGGTATGGAGGGATATCATTAAGAGAGCTGTTCCAGGCAACCAGGGATCGTGATCTGTGGAGATGCATGAGCGCCTACACCAGTTGGCAGGGCACATGATTATGATTATCATCCTTGAGATATTAATCCTGCAGAATACAAATTTGGATGGGGAAAAAATTTATTTAAAATAAAACAAATCTTTGCCTCCTAGACTAGTGAGAAAGGGAAAATGAGACAGTATAAATAACCTAAATGTGTTTCTCCACTTGCAGAGATGTTCGTTTCAGCACATTAGAGAAAAACTCCTCTGACATGGGAAAGCTGATTGACGAGGCCAAGACCGAGAAGCTGAAGCACATGGAGGAGCTACATGAATCTCATAAATCAGTGGCTGAGCTTGAAGCGAAGTGAGTTGTCTTGTGCCTGTGTGTTCACTGGGTTTTGCACTCAGACACAAGCAGTTGTTTAAATCTTCCAGTTTAACAATAAAGTCCTTGTGTGGGTTCACAGTCCCCTTTATAGTCACTTCTCAGCAGCTTGAACGTCATCAAGTGCCTTGCCAGCTGGCGTTGTCGTTCTCGGTCTTTGATGTTCTGGATCAATTCCACTGATGATATTTCTATATGCCACTTTCTTAAGCCAGCCACCATCATTTCTCTAGGTCTGCCTCTGCCTCTTCTACCAGTGATCTTTCCGTTTGTCACGATATTTTGCAGTGCTCCTTTCCTCATCACATGGCCAAAGAACTTTGTTTGTCTCCTTCTGATTGTTGTTAATAATGTTCTACTTTTATCAGGCAATCATTGTTAGTTATTCTGGCAGTCCAAGATCAGCAGCTTTAGCCCAAAGAAAAAAAAACATTTGTAACTGCATGAATTCTTAGGAAGATCATGTGGTGGTTTTCTGTTGCCTTCCACATCCAAATGGGAGGTATTCTTTTACCTCTGCCTTTGACAGTAAATTCTTACCGTCAGGACAAGTGAGTGCCCTGCTCTGCTCAGCTGCACAGCTGCACAGCTGTCTACTTATTCTGATGAATACTCCGTCCCCAAAACCGCATTTGCCACACCTGGTGTATTGCCCATCTTATACCACACGGAGGTGCAGTTAGGATTTTGTCCTAGCTGCTTAAGCCTGAAGAAAATACATTTTTTTTTACTTACACTATTTCCCTTTCTAGATTAAATAAGTCTTTGTTTTTGTGTTCAAATAACATATTCATTATTTAGCTAATGCACAACCCCTCCCTCACCTACACCCTCATTAAAGAATACATTTCTTTATTGTTTTTAGATTTTTTAAAAATTTCCAGGGGAGCTAGCATTCTATTTTATTTGATATAGAGTGCACATACATTGGTGAAATTATCAACAATCACAAAATCAGCACTGAAATGGGAAGTATATGGAGTAAGGACATAAAGGTGTCCAAGAGAAACCTTCCAGTAAACATAGATGAGAACCCTTGGGATTGTCACCAGAGCTAGTTTGTGCTGTATGTGACCAGATAGTTTGTTCTGTGTGTGATGAGATAGTTTGTTCTGTGTGTGATGAGATAGTTTGTTCTGTGTGTGATGAGATAGTTTGTTCTGTGTGTGATGAGATAGTTTGTTCTGTGTGTGATGAGATAGTTTGTTCTGTGTGTGATGAAATAGTATGTTCTGTGTGTGACGAGATAGTTTGTGCTGTGTCTGGCGTTATAGTTTGTGCTGTGTGTGATGTGATAGTTTGTGCTATGTGAGCCGAGATAGTTTGTGCTGTGTGTGACGAGATAGTTTGTGCTGTATGTGACGAGATAGTTTGTGCTATGTGTGACGCTCCCAGCAAGCAGCTAGGTGGTCTGCAGAGAGAGACCATGCCATACTGGATAAAATCAAGTGCAGAGAAGTCAATCCTTTAACCTTTAACCTTTATTGATGAGAGTCTTGAGATGTCAAAAATCTGGATTCCAAACAAGATATTGAAAGGATTGCACAATTGATAAGCTGAATTTCAATCCTGATTGACTGTATATTGTGCTACGAGCAGGCATGAGACTCATGGTGACGGTAAGTGTGACTAGCAAGACCTGATATGTTAAGAAAGTTCTTCCACAGTTATAGCATGGGATATCAGGATTGTTGTTAATATTTGTGTTTTATTTCTTCTCAGACCCTCAGCTCTCATCCTTTCCACAACCATATCTTCCTTCATTTTTCCCTTCCTGATATACCGTCTCCACATAATACGGTCCATGGCATTTTGTTTGTATGAGTCCTCTGTGATGTCTGAATGACACAGTGATGATGATGATAACATTCTATTGAAGGGGGATTACTGATGATGTGATGTTTTTTGTACATCTCCAGGGTTAAACAGCTTCAGACTCAACTTGCGGAAAAAGAAGCAATGGTCAAGGTGTTCCAGCGGTCACCCCTGGCTATGGCTAGAAGTTCGAGCCTTCATGCTTTATGCCACTCACCCCTCCACTCTCCTCATGCCTCACTGATATCTCCGTATGGTTATTTGGGAAACTCTCAGGTTTCTGAGTCTGCCAGTACTGGAAGCTACAGGGATTACGCCACCATCAGGCATGCAAAGTCTGGTAAGTCATTCATTCACATGGGTTGTCTTTGTCCTCCTTGTGTGGGTTCCAGGGTCCCATTGTGGGGGGGGGGGGGGGGGGATAATAGAACTGCAGTCACTTCTATTTAGGTCATCACTTTCCTGCAGTTAAATTGTGGACAGCTGAAAGCCGATATCCCTGTATGGGTTCAAGGGCCCTATTAAAAAAAGGGGGGGGGGGGTGGTATAAACCCACTGCCCCCCTAACAAACATTGTAAAAGTCGACTAATTAAGTGTGTTTACTTCCAAGGTGCGAGGATGTCTGTCTGAGAGGCAAGGAACCAACAGTCTGCTTACAAATAAGCTAAACAAATCTGTGTAAAACAGATGTGCAATCAAAGCTCAAGTTCTGGCACAAGACTAAAATCCAGAAGTGGATGAACAGCCAGAACTTTCCACCGTAGTTTTTACAGTCATCAAACGTGAAGAAGAAGAAGAAAGAAATTAGAGGTAAACCAGTCATGCCAGTCAAAGTAAGAGAACACAGAAATGTAGACCCTTGAAAGAAAGCGTCGTCCCCATGTGGGACGCAATTTTTCGTTATTTTGAAGCCCCACCCCGGCGTTTGCCGGGTGGCCGCAATATAGTCAAACGGTTTAACAGAGTTTCTGGAACCTCTCCACGGGCGATCCTCATCCGCATGGTGGCACTTTGTGTCACTGGGTGTTTATCACTGTGTGGGGTAAAATGTACTTACCTTATAAAACAGTGCAATGGAAAATATTTGATAATGATGCTGCAAGAAGTCCTATATTTTTCTTGTTTTGTAAGATAGCATTACAGGCAGCCCATAAACATTCTTCAGTGTTGTATTGCAGAAATGACACACGAAATGGCATAAACATCATTCAACGTCATTCAGGATCATGATAACATATGAAGTTTTTTTGAAAAATGCAGCTAAAATGCCCGTTCTGATTTTGTTACAGGAAGCTCAAGTGCCGTTGAATTGGAACATAAAAAGTCTATAGAAGAAGAGGATCTGCTGTCCAAAGTGCAAAGCTTAAACACTGCGGTAGGTTATCTTCTTTAATAACTTCCCTTTGTTTGTATTGTCCATGTCTTTTATGCTGTTAGCTTCCTTTGTAGTATAGATCTCAACAGCTCAGGCCAAGTCTGTTGTTCTTTTATCTCTCTCTCTCTCTCTCTCTCTCTCTCTCTCTCTCTCTCTCTCTCTCTCTCTCTCTCTCTCTCTCTCTCTCCCCTTCCTTCCCCACCCCCTCCCTCCCTCCCCATCTCTTTCCGGTGAACTCAACTCTGCTTCTATTAAAATTTATCAAGATTTGTTGATGGTTGTTTGACTTGAGAAGTTTGCCAACGGACCGGGTGAACAAGCTCAAGGCCACCTCCTGGGGATCTTTGCGGTTAAGTGGCAAAGCCATTTTTCTCACATGTTAAAGGTGGTGGGTTCATTTTCAAACAGCACCATTTGTTTCATCAGTTCCCTGTGTAGATCCTAGGAGTACAAGAATAGTGCCACTGTCCTCCATAGCAAACATGTCCTAAAAGGCATCTAATTGGGGGTGTTTCCTTCAAAATCAGAGTGCACAGCCTGAGAGGCAAGCAACCAACAGTCTGCCTAGAAATCAGGCAGATCTGTCAAATGAATATGCACGCAAAACTCCGATTCTGGAACAAAAGTCCAGAAGTGGACGAATAACCAGAACTTTACTCCAAAAATTACAGCGGGTGAACGTGAAGAAAAAGAAAAAGATGAGGGTTTATACATGCAGTTGTTTCAGAGAATCCTGTAGATCTCTGTTGGGCTACAGATTTTGTGCAGCAAACAGCCAGCTGGCTGCTCCTGTTGTTTTCATCTGTCCAGAATATAGTGTTATATTGTGATTAGGGGGGGGGAGGGGGGTGAGTGTGACTAGCAAGTGGGGAGGCATGGCCCAGTCCATGGCAGTGGTGAGTGTGACTAGCAAGTGGGGAGGCATGACCCAGTCCATGGCAGTGGTGAGTTTGACTAGCAAGTGGGGAGACATGGCCCAGTCCGTGGTAGTGGTAAGTGTGACTAGCAAGTGGGGAGGCATGGCCCAGACCATGGTAGTGGTGAGTGTGACTAGCAAGACTCACCCTTGTTGAGAAAAGCCTTCCGCAATTAGAGTAAGGATTTCAGAACAGTTGTTGCTATCACGTGCATTTATTGTGCGTCTTCCTTGATGCTCGGTTCCCGGCCTTTCCTTTATTCCCATTTCCTTTTTGATTTGGCATTTTGTTCCCATGAATCTACCTCAGCACCTGTATCATTCATGTCCCGCTTGCAGACATCTTTATATTTTAGTAGAGGTCGTCTTCAACATCTTCCATCCCCTCTGTAATTCACTATACAGGATGTCCGTAGGAAGTCTACAGTTCTCTATTCTATAAGTGTGATCCAGCCGTCTCAGCCTTCAGAGACTGGCCATTGAGAAAACTGTTGTGATGCATGCTTTTCCCAGCCCAATGTCTGTGTGTTTGTGATCTTGTCCTGCCCACAAGTATTCTTCTGAGGCATCACCTGGGACTGCTATTTAGCCATTCCTTGTGGTGCTGTTGAGTGAGATCTTTGAAAGGCTTGACCAACCTTACAGCTGAACTCGTTGGGTGGGTGGAAAAAATTTTTTCTTTCTCGAATAGAAGGCCAAGGGGAGTAATGTAAAGTAAAGATCCCTTTTCACGCCTTTCGGCGCATCGGGCGTGTGGGCAGAGTAGAGCTATTTTGTACAGACCATCAGCACTCGGTGGGTAATGTGGTCAGCATTTTTGTCTTTACTTTGGACAGCCCATCCTGGTCCCATTTTAGGCTGGGTCGACCTGCATCTTCTGTTTCGTTTTTGAAGTGCAAGTAGAGCTGTTGTGTAGTTTCATTGTTTGTCTGTCAGTATTTCTGCAAGCTGATGGAAATAGTTGTCACATTTCATTTACATCTTCTGTTTCATTGCAGTGCAAGAATGATTCCGATGATGATGAGGGAAAGCTGTTTCATGTGTGAGCCTAGCACATCTAGCAAGATACAGATTCTGGAGATTGGAGAATAAGGGGTGAAGAAAAGCTGTTTCTTGTTGGCCTAATAAGATACAACTTCTGGAGATTGGAGGATGAGAAAGGCTATTTCGATGTGTGTCACACAGAGTTTGGGAAATTGGAGAATGAAGGAAAGCTCTTTTGTTTCTGATTGTAGCAAGATAAGAGTTTTGAAAATTAGAGAATGAGGACAAGCTGTTTCAAATTGGTATAATAAGATACAGCCTCTGGAGGGTGAAGGAAGAGGGAAAACTGTTTCACATTAATGTGACGTGATACACTTCTGAAGAATGGAGATCTAGTGGCAGTTGTTTCACTTTTGTTGAATGTTGAATAGAGATTCGACATCATAGCAGCACTCTGGACATGCCCTTAAGCGCTCTATTGCCATCTTCAGCAAGCAAGCGCAGAGTTCTAGTTCCAGTGGACCCAGTGACAGTCTGACTGCAGATCCGTCTCGCCTTTCCATTGAGTGTTGGCCAGATTTCCTCAGACCATGATGAACTATTTGTATTTCCACACTATCCACTTGCTTCCAAAGGACCCTTACAACATCTAACTTGCCTTGCATCAGTGACCACCAAGTGGTGCAGAACCAGCTAGTTTATCTGCTTTTTTGTTTCCTAACACACCAGCATGACCTGGAGAAATATCCAGAGGAAAAATACATATTTGAGTGGCAAGATACTGTTGCATAGAGAATAAGAAGAAGCTGTTTCTGTTTATAACAGTAACTTACAACTTCTGGAGGATTGACAATGTGTGGCAAGCTGTTTCATGTTTGTGTGACAAGATACAATCCTGGCTATTGAAAGTCACCATTTTTCGTTTACCCACCAGACACTGCAGACTCCACAAACATTCAAATAGATTAGTTATGAACCAAACAGCTCTCTGTCAATGTTTAAGGTTTTGAACAACAGATCAACATCATGGCACATGGGTAGTAACCCATAAGTGCTCCGTTCTTCTTCTAACTCAAGTCTGAGTTCGAAGAAGCTCAGCACAGTGCACAGGCTCTGTAGCACCGCCGAGGATCCTGAAATACTTTGGGTAGATTTTTTACTCCAAATTTTGACCGGGCAGCACCGTTAGGCTACTCTTTTCGATTTCCAACTGCCAAGGGATTTTTTCATGTGCGCAACAATGCACACGGGCGTGTGATCTCGCTACCCAGAGACCAGGGGGAATTCCAAGTGAATAAATTCCAGCCATTAAGAGGATTGAACCCGGAACCTCTAGCACTTGAGGCGGACACTAGAGACCACACAGCCCCTGTGTCAGTGTTTTTGAGCTGAAAGAGCTGTGAAGCATGTGCCCACACCCAGTAGACATGATAACTAAGCTTTGAGGAAATCTAAGAGACCTTGAGATGACGTTCTAGTTAATGGCCCACAGTGGATTAAGTGCAAGACTATAGATCACTGAAGAAGAAGAAGAAGAAAGTAAAAGTTGCACTAGACAAAGTAATCTGTTGTTATCTGTGTTTGTTATTGCTAAAAGAAGACTGTATACACATCATTCCATATTTGAGCAGTGGCACCAGCGGTTGTCTGTTGGAGACCAGGACATTGGTTGGTGCTATGCCAAAGAAACCCAAAAGCTAAATCCGTGTTTTGAGAAAATCACGTTTGAACATTGAGTCTTCCTTCTTCTTTTGTCGTGTCACTGATACCAGGTTGTAGCCCAGTGTTGTGGGTGTGTCATCTCACTGATACCAGGTTGTAGCCCAGTGTCGGGGTTGTGTCGTCTCACTGATACCAGGTTGTAGCCCAGTGTTGTGGGTGTGTCATCTCACTGATATCACTGATACCAGGTTGTAGCCCAGTGTTGTGGGTGTGTCGTCTCACTGATACCAGGTTGTAGCCCAGTGTTGTGGGTGTGTCGTCTCACTGATACCAGGTTGTAGCCCACTGTACCAGGTTGTAGCCCAGTGTTGTGGGTGTGTCGTCTCACTGATACCAGGTTGTAGCCCAGTGTCGGGGTTGTGTCGTCTCACTGATACCAGGTTGTAGCCCAGTGTTGTGGGTGTGTCGTCTCACTGATACCAGGTTGTAGCCCAGTGTTGTGGGTGTGTCGTCTCACTGATACCAGGTTGTAGCCCAGTGTTGTGGGTGTGTCGTCTCACTGATACCAGGTTGTAGCCCAGTGTTGTGGGTGTGTCGTCTCACTGATACCAGGTTGTAGCCCAGTGTCGTGGGTTGTGTCGTTTCACTGATACCAGGTTGTAGCCCAGTGTCGTGGGCGTGTCGTTTCACTGATACCAGGTTGTAGCCCAGTGTCGTGGGCGTGTCGTTTCACTGATACCAGGTTGTAGCCCAGTGTCGTGGGCGTGTCGTCTCACTGATACCAGGTTGTAGCCCAGTGTTGTGGGTGTGTCGTCTCACTGATACCAGGTTGTAGCCCAGTGTTGTGGGTGTGTCGTCTCACTGATATCACTGATACCAGGTTGTAGCTCAGTGTTGTGGGTGTGTCGTCTCACTGATACCAGGTTGTAGCCCAGTGTTGTGGGTGTGTCGTCTCACTGATACCAGGTTGTAGCCCAGTGTTGTGGGTGTGTCGTCTCACTGATATCACTGATACCAGGTTGTAGCCCAGTGTTGTGGGTGTGTCGTCTCACTGATATCACTGATACCAGGTTGTGGCCCAGTGTTGTGGGTGTGTCGTCTCACTGATATCACTGATACCAGGTTGTGGCCCAGTGTCGTGGTTTTTTTTTCTTTCTGTATTTGCTGAGTCATGGTTCTATAATAATTTAATCTTTCTTTAGTAGTAACAATCAAATACACCAATGCCGGCTGACCTGGTTGGTGCCCAGACATCGAGTGGCAGGTGAAAATTGTGAAAAATTTTAAACATCAGCTTTTTTTTTTTTTTTTTACATATTTGGAGTAAGAGTTTTCACATGGGTGAGCTTTTCCATAGTACCAGTGACTTGTTCTTGTGAAGCTGTCAGAAGTTTGGTAGTTCTGCACTGATTCACTAGTCTGGTAATATGGCACCCAGTGGCAGGTACGGCTGCAAATTAAGCTGAGATAAGAAATGTGTGTTGTTATTTCATTGTCTGTAAGCCTCTGAGCATTAACAGTACTGGCAAGTTCCGGTGACATTGTCCTAAACCTATTGTTACAGTAACATTTTCCTAATTTTTGTTTTGCCAGTAATGTAATACATTTTGTTGTAATACATAGTGTTGTCATACATAGTGTTGTAATATATAGTGTTGTAATACATTGTGTTGTCATACATAGTGTGGTAATACAGTGTTGTAATACATAGTGTTGTGTTGAAATACAGTGTGGTAATACATAGTTTTGTAATACATAGTGTGGTAATACATAGTGTGGTAATAAATAGTGTTGTAATACGTGTGTTGTAATACATAGTGTGGTAATAAATAGTGTTGTAATACGTGTGTTGTAATACATAGTGTGGTAATAAATAGTGTTGTAATACGTGTGTTGTAATACATAGTGTGGTAATACATAGTGTCATAATACATAGTGCTGTAATACATAGTGTGGTAATACATTGTGTTGTAATACATTGTGTTGTAATACATTGTGTTGTAATACATTGTGTCATAATACATAGTGCTGTAATACATAGTGTGGTAATACATTGTGTTGTAATACATTGTGTCGTAATACATAGTGTGGTAATACATTGTGTTGTAATACATAGTGTTGTGAAACATTGTGTGGTCATACATTTTGTTCTAATACATTATGTTGCAACCTTAAACATGTTGAATGTATCCTCAGCCAGTTTGTTTCTATATTGCAAAAGAAAAGAAAAAATCATTCGCATGCTGAGCTTGCTGTGTAGTTTCATACAGGTTGTGTAAATGTAAAAGTTGTGTGCCTTTACGTTAGTTGAGTATGTAAATTGCTGCAGACTTTCACACAGGACGTGCATAATTTATTATATTAATTTTGCATCAGTTGTATATAAATTGTTGTCTTTTTTTATTGATGTAAAAATTGTATAATTTTATAAGACTGTAGTAAGTGGGAATAGCATGTTGTTCTGAGATAAACATTTGGTAACGTAGTCTTCTTATGCTTCTGCATTTCTTCTTGAAAGCTATTTGTGTTGCGGTTTACAGCTAGGCTACTTTATCTGCAACTTTTGATCCAACACAGCTGATTCCAGCACTTCCTTAATTAGTCGCCTTTTACAACATGCTTGTTGGTGACAGTGAGTCCATTGTTGTCGCAAAATGGGGCCTTGGAACTCTCATAGGGATGAACATAAAATGACAGCTGGCAAATGTCTTGGAGAATATTTTATATTTGATCAACTTTTAGTTGTTCTGTTCTTTCAGACCTGGATAGATGTACTTCTTGTTTGTGAGAACTGATGCTCTGTTTTATGGGACATAAAAATGTACAGTTGTGAATTAACAGGCTGTTTTTTCCTGTTAAAGATGCTGGTGCTATAATGTATGTGATATATTACCAGGTACTGTTTGTCTGTTGATTGTCTTTAATGCCATGCACATTGAGGGTGGGGCCTGCCCTCACTGCTAATCAACACCCAGTGATTTATGTGTATGAACCGTGTCTCTTTGACATGTCTGGGTTTTTTTCAGAGGCACAAGTTACAGAAAAAGATTCTAATCTCTTACAAGCCTATGGTTGTTATCTATACAATCACACACATATATATAAACAGTCATTCTCTCTCTCTCTCTCTCTCTCTCTCTCCTCTCTCTCTCTCTCTCTCTGACAGTGGAGGGAGGAGTGCGTTGATAAAAGTGGACAGTGAACAAAACTTACGTAAAGCATTTTGACTTCTTTTAACACAGTCATAATTATAAATGTTCCCGTTTACTCACTGTCTCTATGGCTGTTTCTCTCTGACTCTGTCTCTCTCTCTGTCTGGCTTATTCTGTGTCTGTCTGTCTCTCTCTCTCTCTCTCTCTCTCTCTGGCTAATTCTGTGTCTCTCTCGCTTTCTGGCTAAT